TCATTCCAGTTTTAGTATATGTGCTGCTGAAGTGAGCACTGAGCCTTTGTGTCTGGAACTAAGTAAAGTTTCCAGAGAGAACAACATCGGTGGGGAGAAGTGAGAGGAAGAATGGGGTCTTTACCCTGAGACCAAAGGGGAGCTATGGGAGGTATTCGCGCAGGGGCGCTGAGTGCTGTTTGGGATGATCAGAGGATGGGCATCCCAGGGGGAACACTCACGAGGCGACTGGACATGTGGTCTGAGCTAGGAGTTGGGCAGTGGGTGCTCTGATGGACGGATGGTATCTGAAATGTAAGAAGGGGACAGGGAGCACAGTGAGATGAGTAAGGGCCCCAGACAGAGTCACACTGACATTTACGGGTGTCGAGGATGGAGGAGTCTGCAAAGAAGACTGACGGAGAACGAACAGAGAGGGGAGCCAGGCGGTCCTCCAAGGTGGGGGACTGACAAGGCCAGGGGCGACAGAGAGGGGGTGGGGATGTAGGCAGCTCTCCAAAGAGGTTTAGCTTGAGGGGAAAGACAGCTGGGTAGCTGCTTTTTGTTTTTAAGACTGCAAGAAACCAACCCGAAAAGAAAGACGAAGAATGTGGGGGACATATCCTAGAAGTAGGGAATATCTTTAACCGGGCATTAGAAATCCAGGAATTTCAGCAAATCAAATGACTCATTCACATTTGTTCCCTGCCTTTGTTGCATGTGGATGCTACGTTCCTAAGGAGACTCGCTAAATGCACTGACAAATTTTCCCTAATGGAGTTTCCTCCCAGCTGGCCAGCCCAGAGAAGACAATGACTCTCTTCCCTATAATACCAGCCCAAAGTCCCAGGGAAGATTCTAATTGGCCAGTTTGGGTCATGTGCCTATTCCTGAACCAATCGCTGTTACTCTGTCCCTAAGCATCCCGATTGGCCAGTCTGGGTTGGAGGCGGAGCCAAGTGCCCATAGTACCACAGTAAATGAGGACAAGGTCGGTGTCTCAGGGATAAGATGTCGTTTGCAAGGTGCTCCTTAGAATGAGTAGTGGGATTACCGTGGGACACAGGGACCTGTAACCTATTGCTCAAAGCGCACGCAATGTTGAGATCCCTCTGTTGCCCCTAGGTCTCAAGTTTGACATGAAATACATGAATTTCCGTGTGAAGGCCTGTAATAAGGCAGTTGCAGGCGAGTTCTCCGAGTCGGTGACCCTGGAGACACCAGGTGACTGGCCCCCACCCCTACCCTGGCCCTGACTCCATAACCCTTCACCCTGGGGCCCCAGCTTCTGGTGTCTAATGAGACTCTTTTTCCCCTCAAGCTAAACCTCTAATGAGACTCTTCTAATCAGGGTTCTTTGGCTCTTTTTGCTCTGGCTGCCAGGAAGCTCGGAGCTTAGTTCCCAGTAGATTCCTTAGCCTGAGTGTTTAATATACACCTGCCATTGCTTTTTGCTTTTACAGTTGATCCCATTATACTTGGATGGGCTTTATACTCTCTCTCTGTTTCACACACACTCTCTCTCATTCTGTCTCCCAAAAAATAGATAAGGGCCCTTAGAATTGGGGATGGGATCCGATCTTACTCTCCTGCATTAACACTTGTGTGCCCTGATAGGAAGATCTTCCGCAGTCTAGCCTAACTACTGTGCTATGGCCCCGCCCCTTTCCTGCGATTAATCTCCAGCGGAAGTAGAGAAAGTGCTTTGAAAATGGCTCCAGACCTAGGGGACCTTTAGGCAACAAGCTCTGGGCCTTTACTCCCTTGGCTGCGAGCTCTGCCCGCCGCCCTCCCCCCTTTCCCCTCTCTTCTCCATCTGTCCTTCTTGGTGTCTTGCTTCCGGTCCCTCTGTATCTGTCTGTCTCTGAGTCTCTCTGTCAATCTCTCTCTTTCTGTCTTCGTCCCTGTTGTGGCTTTCTGTTCTCCGTCCCTCTCAGGGTCTGTCTTGGTCACTGTCTGTCTCTCTGTCTCTCTGTGTCTCTCCGGGTTTCCCCATCTCTGTGACTCCCACGTCTGCCCGGCCCCAGCGTTCATGTTCCGCCTGGATGCGTCCACATCTCACCAGAACTTGCGGGTGGATGACCTCTCCGTGGAGTGGGACGCCATGGGCGGGAAGGTGCAGGACATCAAGGCTCGCGAGAAGGATGGCAAGGGGCGCACGGCGTCTCCTGTCAACTCCCCAGCCAGGTAGCCTGCCCCCCGCCCTCCCTGAGTTGCTGGTGGAGGTGATCAAACTAGGCAGAGCCCAGTGTGGTCAAGGCTGGAGCAGAAAGAGGGACATGGAGCTGGAGGAGCCCGGGGAGAAGGGAGAAGAGATTTCTTTTTTAATGTTTGTTTACTTTTGGAGGGGAGGGGAGTGTGTGCAAGTGCGGGAGGGGCAGAGAGAGAGGGAGACAAAGGAACTGAAGCGGGCTCTGCACTGACAGCAGATGTGGGACTTGAACCCATGAACCGTGAGATCACGACGTGACCCGAAGTCGGATGCGTAACCGACTGAGCCACCCAGGGGCCCCAAGAAGAGATTTTTAACTGGGATTTGACAGTTGAATAGTTTTCCTGATGAGGAAGGGCTGGGCGTGTTCTGATAGGAGGGGCCCAGGGCATGCAAAGAACCGAGTCCTGGGAAGGACTGACGGAAAGACAAGACCCGGTGGCCCCGGGTGGCCCAGGGAAACCCTCCTGTGGGGGCAGGAAGGGCTGCGCTGACCCTTCCCCTCCCTGCCACTCACAGAGGTGTGCCATCTCCCAAGAGGATGCCCTCCGGTCGTGGGGGTCGGGATCGCTTCACGGCGGAGTCCTACACGGTTCTGGGTAAGGAGGGGCAGAGACGGAGGGCAGAGGGGACACCCTGGGCAGGCCCTGGTGGTGGGGGGAGGGGTGAGAGGGAATGCCTTTGGTTGGGGAAACTGAGGCAGCCACCAACAGTGCCTTCTGGGAATGGTTCTGATAACGTGCTGTGGTGCTGAAGGAATGGAGGACTGGAGGGAGGAGGAGGGTGTGGGCTTGGTGGGGGGGCAGAGCTTGTGGGGGCTGGGGCTTGGACATCGGCCGGGGGGCGTCCTGGGGTTAGTGGAGTATCTGAGGATTTGTGAAGTAGCTGGAAAGAACGGTCACCTACGGGTTAGTTGGGTTTGTGGAGCAGCCAGAGAGAGGCGCCGGTGTGGGAGACAGCTAGCAATGGAGTGGATGGAGCCCATGGAGGAACCAGAGTTTGGGGGGCTCGTCACTGCCCAGAAAGGGGCTCGCAGAAGAGGCTGGGGCGTGCGGAAGTCAGTGTGGTCAGCAGTTCCCGGGCAGGGGCGGAGTGGGAGAGAAGCTGCGTTCTGGGGATAAGCTAAAGCCTGAGGAGAAGCTGAGGTTCGGTGGAGCATCTGGGATTGGCGCGAGGCGGAGTCTGGGGGAGAAGCAGGGGGAAGTGGGGGGCTTGCAGGGTGGCTGAGACCTGAGAGGGAGCCGTGGAGCCTCTGGGAAGAACGCAGCCTGATTGTTGTTGGGGAAGTAGCTCGGGTTGGGGAGGAGCAGGGGGACGGGCAGGCAGGAGAGGCTGTGCACTCAGGCCTGCAAGAAGCTGGGCTTCCCCAGGAGCCGCGGTTCTGGGTGGACTCTAGGCGCACAGAGGAATCTAGGAAAGGGCCCCAGAGCGCCGGGGAGTCGCTGCACCCCAGGAGGACTTGAAGCCTGTGCAAGGGTTTGGGGATTGATCATCTAGTCTCAGGGAAGAACTGAGGACCGAGGAGTATCTCACCATGGGGAGGAACTGTTTGTTTTGGAGGCAATTTATAAGGCCTGGAAGCATCTGGAATGAGAAGGGATTAGTTGAGGCTCAGAGAGTATCTGGGCTTTGCTAGAGGAAGTGGACGAAGGCCGGGGACTGCCCGGAAGGAATAGCTGGGGACTGAGGAGTACCCCGGTGAGCGCCCCCTTGTGGAGGGCCGTCTGGGACCCGACTCCGCCCCGCCCCGCAGGGGACACGCTGATCGATGGCGGGGAGCATTACTGGGAGGTGCGCTACGAGCCGGACAGCAAGGCGTTCGGCGTGGGGGTGGCGTACCGCAGCCTGGGCCGCTTCGAGCAGCTGGGCAAGACGGCCGCGTCCTGGTGCCTGCACGTCAACAACTGGCTGCAGGTCAGCTTCACCGCCAAGCACGCCAACAAGGCCAAGGTGCTGGACGCCCCGGTGCCCGACTGCCTGGGCGTGCACTGCGACTTCCACCAAGGTGACCCCCCCAGCCCCGGGCGGCATCTCCAGCGCCCTCTACCTGTCCCGTCTCGGCCGCAAATCCCCTTATCGGCCCCTCTGTCACTCTGCCTCCATCGCAGGCCTCCTGTCCTTCTACAACGCCCGAACCAAACAGCTGCTGCACACCTTCAAGGCCAAGTTCACACAGCCACTGCTGCCTGCTTTCACAGTGAGAAGCCTTCCGTGGCGGGAAGGGCGGGTGTGTGTGTGCGCGCGCGCGCGTGCGTGCTGGGTGCCGGCTTTGCTCCAGAGCGCCCCTCCTTCCTCTCCCCCACCGCTCTCCCCTCCCCCCTGCCCTGTGCCCCAGGTATGGTGCGGTAGCTTCCAGGTGACGACGGGCCTGCAGGTGCCCAGCTCCGTGCGCTGCTTGCAGAAGCGGGGCAGCGCCACCAGCAGCTCTAACACCAGCCTCACCTAGGCCCCTGAAGCGCCCTCCCAGGCCTCGGTTGTTTCAGCCGGCACCCTTTTCTCACTTGCTGCTTGGAGCCTTAACTCCTGACGGGGGTCACGAACCGGGAGCGGGCCCCAGGGCGGGCCCTCCTCCCCACCTCACCTCCTAATAAAGGTCAATCACTGGCCAGGCTGTGCTGATGGTTCTTTGGGGCTGGGTGGCACTGAGTGTGCCCCAAAGCTCTCTGGACCCTCAGCTTTCCTGGCTGTAAAATGGGCTTTTCTTCTTGGGTCAGGTGGCAGGTTTTGCTAAGAGGGGCCAGCTGTGGGCGGACGTCTTCCAGACCCTCACTGCCCACCCCCCCCGAAGCCAGTCCAGATGCAGAGGCCCTGGGGTCACTTAAGCTTTTATTCTGGGAGGAGGGCTCCGCCTCCCTGACTTGCTGCACCCTGAGACTGGCTCACTGGTCCCCAGCGTGGCCAACCGAGTGCTCCAGCGCCCTCCTCCTCTGCAGTTTCTCCTCCAGCTCGGCCGTCAAACCTGCCAGGCCTGGTTGGGGGGGCGGGGTTGGGGGGGTGAGGCTTCAGGGGCACCAGGGATGCCCAGTCCATGCTGTCCCCCCACACCTCAGGCACCAAGGCCCCGCTGCAGAATTTGAGGGGCCCCCTGAAAAATGAAAATCTACTCAAAAGCCCTAAGGAGTCTGAAGACTGCACAGCGTTAAGCCAAGTGTGGGGACCTTTTCGGAGTGTGGGGCCCACGTGACAGCACAGGTCATCCGCTTGGGAACCCCACGCTGCACGGAGCCCCAGATGCCTCACCTGTTGAGGGGAAGAAAGCCTGCGCTGAGTTGACCGCCAGCTTCTTGGCTAGGCCGCCGTTGAGGCCTTTGGGCTCTGGACGGGGAGGGAGAGGAAGGCTGAGGCTGGCTCTCCGGCTGGGCGAGGGACGGGCTGGGGGGAGGGACCCCTACCTGGCTTGGGCACAGTGGGTGGCTTTGGTAGCTTTGGAGGCTTTCCCTGAACCTTGGCCAACCTCTTGGGCTTCACGACGACTGGCCGACTAGGGGAAGGCACTGTGCGGACAAAGATGTGGCATGTCACATCTACCTTTTAGCCTCCTCCCCTGTCCCCATCTCTCATCCCTACCCCCGCCCCCCTGCCTACCATCCCCATTCACGTAGTTGGCGGCTGGGGGGTCTTCGATGGGGATCACATAGTTCTCATCCTGGTCTGGGAGTGGGGTCAGCGTGTCCTGGCTTAAGACAGGCGCCATGGGCAACGGAGGCAGCTGCTTGGGGCCACCCGAGGGGGGTGCAGGACCTGGTGAGACGCAGCAGTTACTGGAATCAGGCACATGACCCTGGGCATGTGTGGGTTTTACACACGCCCATTTATGAGTTGGTGTTTGTGTCCCGTGTCGCATCAACTGACACACTGAGTGAATTCGCACAGTGGAATATATGCAGAGGGTTTGTACACACACTTAGTGTGTAATATATGTGGATGACACCACGTGGGTGCTAGTATTCGTACACCCATGTACCTATAAATGTCCAAATTTGTGCTCGTTGGTGCGCATTCGTGTAAACACGGGATTGTGGCTTAAGGTATGTGTGCTATGCACGATGGGAATCGTGTGACGCTAGTATTCATGTGTGTGTGGAACCTTTGTCTGTGTGTGTGTGTACATGTGAGTTTCTGATTATGCAGGTGGACGCAGCTCATGTTTGTGAGTGTGCACTGTGTGTATGTGTGCACATACGTGCCCGCTGTGCACAAGGGGCCCGCAGCGTCTGCCCAGCCCCAGGAGGACCATACTGCTCAGCCCCCAGACCTTCCCAGTGTCTTCCTGCTTCATAAGCCAGACCACCGCCACCCCGTTCTCAATAGCCACCCCGATTCCCATCTCTAGGTTGATCTTGCTGGAAAGGAGCCCTCCGTCCCCCCACTGCCCATCTCGATCTACTGAAATCCTTTGAGACTTTTAGCAAACACCGCCTCCTCCAGGAAGCCTCCCCCCGCCCCTTTTTCTCCCCAACTCTGGGCACCACTGCCTCCAGCCCCAAGTTCGACCCCACAGGGCTGGGAGTGTGTCCAGCTCTGCCTCCCGCTCCACAAGCCGGAGGGCAGGGTCTGGGTAATTTCCGGGTCCTTGTAACTCTGGGCACAAGACTGGACACGGGCGGGGCCACGTGGGTCCCGGGTCTCGCTTCACTCTGGCACAGTGGTGGCTGCAGGGCGGGGGCGTCACCTGGGGCCTGGGGTGCGGGGGCCTCCGGCGCCACCCACACGCTCTCGCCGTTCTCTTTATCCGCCTCCACGTAGCCTGGAACAGAGAGCGGTCCTAGAGGAGGCGCGGCGGCTGAAGGTTGACCCAGGGGTGCCCCGTGGGGGCAGGGGAGGGAGAGGCACGTACTGGTTCCCCGGAGGTCCCTGAGGTCGCACTCACCTAGCACCTTCTCGTAGTCCTCGTCCGGCAGGAAGGGCACCAGAGCCTTCTTGGTGTGTGACACGAAATAGTTGACCACTGCATCGAGTGAGGCGCAGGAGAACTGGAGGCGGATAGAGGTCGCAGTCAGGGCTGCTGGGGATGGGGCGCAGTCCCCACCGCTGCGTTTCCCAGGAGCCCCGCCCAACGCTCACCGGCTCCTCCACGTCGATCACATACTTGGCGCCCTCACGCTTCACCTTGTAGTGCCGGACCACCAATATCCTGCACAAGGGGTGAATGAGTGGGCTGGTTCCGGCCAAGGAGGAACCCGCCCCTTGTCCTGGCTCCGCCTCCACGGAGGGGCGAACCTCCTCTGCACACGGACCATGCCCCGTCCCAGCGCGGCTCTCTGGGGAGAATCAGGCCCTCTACTGACTGCATCCCCCGCGGGAAGACCCCGCAGCTGTTCCGGCACTGCCCAGGCCCTGCCTTGATGGCTCCACCCCCCGAAGGTTCCGTCCCTCTTGCCCCGCCCCCTGGGTTCTACCTCCACCCTTCACCTGGCCACCCAAAGAAGGATTTAGTATCAGGCTCTGATCCGTCCCCAAAATGGTTCCACCTCCAAAGCCTGATTCAACCACCAGGGAGAGGGCCGGGTTATGACTCCACCCACAGGTCCTGACTGCCCAAAGCCTGGTCACCACCCCTGGATTTGATTTCTTCCCTGCTCCGGAGGTCCAGACCCGGCCCCGACTCCGCCCCGAAGAGCCCATCCTCATCCCAGGGCCTGACCTCGCCTACAGAGTCCCGCCCCCGCCTAGGATCTAACTACACCCCCAAAGGGGTCCGCCGTCCAGCCTGGTCTCTAGCTCCGCCCCCAGGCGTTGACCCCACCCCCGTCCCGGGGAGGGGCCTGCCTCAGGATCCCACGCCCCCCCAGCTTTGGCCCCGCCCCCAGGACCACGCCCCCACGCTCGTCCCTCCGCCCACCCTGGCGCCGCGCATGCGCACCCATTGAGCGTCTGGCGGGTGGTGACCGACACGCCGCCCGTTCCGTCCCCGCTGGGCCGCAGCAGCAGGTTCCCGCACTCGGGGTAGCGCTCCAGGAGCAGCTGCGCCTCTAGCCGGCTCACCTTCAGGAAGCAGCTGGGGCGGGCGGGTCCCTCACTCGGGCTGGCCCCGCCCCCGGAGCCCGGCCACACCCTCCCGCGGGGCCCCGCCCGCCGCACGTGGGCCCGGTCCCGCAAGACCCGCTCCGCCGCAGACCCCGCCGGCCGCCGCTTCGGCCCGGCGCCACCTCCCGCCGCCGTCCCGGGGCTGCGCGGCCCCGCGGGGCACTCACGAGGGCACCTCGAGCGCGCGGCGCGCCTCCTCCTTGGCCAGGGCCTCGGCCATCATGTACAGGTGTCCGGGCAGCAGGGTCAGGTTGGACGGGACGCGGAGCTGAGGGACGTGAGGCACCCGCGGGCGCGCGGACGTCAGGGCGCGGGCGGGTGGTGACCGAGTCACCGACGGGCACCCTGAGGTCGGGGCCCAGGCCGCCCGCCAGCATGGGGAGCCGGGTCTGGGGGCTCCAGAGCCACCCTGCACCTCACCAGGGCAGGGCCGAGGAGGTTTTCGAGGGCACGTGAAGACATCAGATGCTAGAATGTAGGGTCTCAGACTCTACCGGCTCCGGGGCCAGGCAGGGGACCAAGGACTAAAGCAGAGATCAGGAACGTTGACAGAAACTCCTGGCTCGTAAGTAATGGCAGGGACCTTTCGCATTTCTAACACCGTCGGCAGGAACAAAAGACGTTTGCGGGCAGCACTGGGCTGCGTTGGGCTTAGCGGCCGCTGCGCCTGCGCGAGACGCATGTAGGCGACTCTGCGGGCCTGGCTGAGGAATGCAGGACGGAAAGAGAAAAGACCCTTTCTGAGGAGGCAGCTACTCTCACCTCTACCACCGTCAGGATGAAGCCTTTCCACATCTCCCGAGACTCCAGGCTCTCCACCTGCGGAGGGAAAGAAAAAGAGCCCATGTCGATGAGCCTCGGTGGATTCATCTGTGAAATGGGAATGAGGAAGAATAGTCACTGTTTTCCAAGGGCTGTCTTGATGATTCAATGAATGGGGACAGGTTAATTTCGGGTGTCTGAACATCGGTAAGTCCTTAGGAAAGAAGGATATAGTTCTTTAATGTTACAAATCAACTTTGAGGGGCACCTGGGTGGCTCAATCGGTTGAGCGTCCGACTTTGGCCCAGGTCATGATCTCACAGTTCGTGGGTTCGAGCCCCGCCTCGGGCCCTGTGCTGACAGCTCAGAGCCTGGAGCTGCTTCAGATTCTGTGTCTCCCTCTCTCTCTGACCCTCCTCTGCTCACGCTGTCTCTCTCTCTCTCTCTCAGAAATTAGAAAAATTAAAAAAAAATCAACTTTGAAAACAGCATAAATCAGATGCTGTATCTCCTATGCTCTAAACCCTCCCAGGCCTCCCGTCTGCTTTGGGGCAAAAGGCCAAGTCCGCCCTAGGGCCCACAAAGCCCTGCATCCCCCGCCCTGTCCCTCCCTGCCCTCCTCCCTCCCTCCCTCCCCATCCCCCACTCTGCCCCAGCCACGGATGCCTCCCCCTCCTCCTCCTCCTCCTCTTCCTCTTCCTAGCTGCCCCTCAGACACAGCAGGCCTCTGCTAAGGAGCCATTGCACGGGGAACTACGGGCTGGCTCCCTCACCTGCAGGTGCTCACTAAGGCTTTCCCTGGTCACCCTGTCTCATTGTAACCCCGACCCTGCTCCGCCCTTTCCCTAGCACTTTTTCCCAAGCACCTCCCCCCTCTGACCCTCCAGATATTTCACACCCTTGTACTGAGCTCCTCCTTGTGACTCCTCTGTATGTATCTCCCATTGTGCAGGCGAAGAAACCAAGGCCTAGAGAAGTTAAGTGACTCGCCCGGTGTCACCAACCCGGTGTTAGACTCCGTGCGACTCCATGCTAGTGCGTGTTAGTGGTAAGTGTGACAAGGAGGGAGAGGCCTACCTTGAACTTGATCTCCTGGTTCCGGAGGACGAGGCTGAAATGGGTGCCTGGGTCTCGGGAGCCCCCCCAGGGGGTCTCATCCGTGAGCTTCACAAATGCTGCTAGGTCTAACTTCTCCACGTGCTGGGGATCCGGAAGCAGGGGTCTGAGTGCCAGGCTTGTGGCTCCTCAGGTCCTCTGGCTTGGCCGAAACACCCGCCCTCTCTGCTTCGTCCCTGAGGTCACAGGTGGAGGGGGCTGAGGGGAGGGGGGCGACCAGCTCTTGAGTCTTCATTCCCATCCTTACCTGGGAGTCCCGATTGCTATTATAGAAATAGAGAGTGCAACCCTGGAGGCCCGCCCAGAATTTCTTGTAATCCTGGGGACCGAAGAGAAAAAGAAGAAGGTGAGAAGGGAAATCTGGGTTCCTCCACGACACTCACTCCTGCCTCAGGACCTTTGCACTGGCTGTCTTCTCTGCCAGGAGACTCTTTCCCCAGATCTTCATGCAGTTTCCTTCATCACCTGCTTTGGGTCTTTGAACAAATGTTGCCTTCTCTGAGAGGCCCTCCCCATCCATGACCTGACTTCTGGGGATCTGTTTTTCTTTGAGAAAGGACCAAAGAATCCTCCTTGATGGAATGGGGGATCTGGAGTAGCCCCCCCACTGCTGCCAGTGTGCAGATATAGGAGATCTAGGAGTAAGTTGAACTAACCGTCCACCCACCCACCCATGTATGTACCCATTATCACATACATACAACCCACCTTCTCCATGTCCACCCTATAAATATTTTTGGGATCTCCTGTGTGTCTGAGTCTGCAGCCTCAGAATTTCACAAGGTCCTGGACTCTAGAAGTATTGCAGATTCAGGATTTCTCCCCAGGATTCTGAATTATAAACATTCTAACTCTCTGGTGGTCCACGGGGCTGATACAGCTCAGACTGTAGGTTTCGGGGTTTATTTTCCAGCAGGTATTCCCAGAACATCAAGTCTGCACCCAGTTCTGTTGCTAGCAAAATACTAAATGAGACATGGCTCTTGTTTCTAAATAGATTGGCTTCCAGAAGATTATAGAAAGCGTAGATACTGGAGCTGCCTGGGGGGCTTAGCGGGTTGGGCATCTGACTCAGGTCCTGATCTCACGGTTGTGGGTTCGAGCCCCGCGTCAGGCTCTGTGCTGACAGCTCGGAGCCTGGAGCTGCTTCCGATTCTGCGTCTCCCTCTCTCTCTGCTTCTCCCCCACTCATGCTCTGTCACTCTCTCTCAAATAAATGTTTCAAAAAATAAAAAGAAAGCATAGATACTAAATCATAGATACTAAATCCTCCAGGGAAGAGAAATTAGTACCCCAGTAGGGGCAAATCCTAGGCCTTGAGATCACAGAGGAGGAGAAAGGCCCTCTAACTGGGAAATCTGGGCAGACTTCCTGAAGGAGGAGGACTTTAATTAGTCTTTAATGATAATGAGGATAGTTTTCATATGGACAGCCAGTAGCCATTCATCAGTTCACCTATCAGTCCGTCCATCTGCCTGCCCATCCATCTGTTCATCCACTTATCTACCCACCCACCACCCTATCCATTTATATGTCTATCCAACCATTGACATATCCACCCACCTACCCGTCTGACCCTAGATACGTACATGCATGTAACTGACATTTACCAAGGACTTCCCATGTGCTAGGCACTGGGAGCAGAGCAATAAGTGATTGAACTCAGCACAGTCAGATCTGCTCTATCATGTACCCACTACGCTCCATTGCACAAGGTATTTAAGTTCTCTGTGCCTCAGTTTCCCTACCTATAAAATGGCGATCAAGAGGTACTTCACTCAGAGGCTGCTAGTGCATTTATACCAGTGGTCAGTGCTTGCGGAGTGACGACCCCAGGCCCCGAAGGCTGCCCCTCTCCAGTAACCATGGCTACAGCCCTCCTATACCCATTGTGTGATAGAGAAAACTGAGGCACAAAGCTGGAGAGCCTGGGAGTCAGGAAAGAGTGGAGCAGCAGGGATGTGGGCCTGGGTCTCCTGCTCCAGGGCCAGGCTTTTCGGAACCCCTGTGGCCTAGACCCTGTGAAGGCTGGGGGGCGGGGGGGCAGTTGGAGGCCCAAGGAAAGGAGGAGGGGACCGTAATCTGCAGTGGCTCTGGGGGTGGCCGGGGAAACCAGTGGGCAGGTGTTTGGGGTTGTAGGGGAGGGAGGTGAGTGTGGGGAGCGGTACGGAGAGCGTAAGCGAAGGAGGGGCTGGGCTTGCCTCAGTATCAGGTTCTGCCAGATGCGCCCCCTCAGCTTTCACTGTCCCCAGCATGCTACCTCTCGTGGCCTTGACCCCTAAGGCTGGGGTTCAGGGTTAGTTTGGAGCTGGGGCATGGGAGCCAGGAGGCTTTCCACTTCCTGGGGGAAGTCCCTGATCCTGTTTGTACCCAGGAGAAAGAAAAGAGAGACTGAGAGGGACAGATGAAGGCAGGTGGGCAGGGAGAGACAGAGACAGAGATAAACCAGAGTCAGAGAGAGAGCCAGATGGTGGACAGAACCTTTTACAGCCCCCGGCAGGTGCCCTGCCCCATCCAGTACCCACCCCGCCCCCTCGGCCAGGTGCAGAGTTGCAGGCTCAGAGAGGTGAGTCCAGCCACCTCGGAGCCCAGCAGTGGCATTGCCGTGCCCCGCCTTACCCGGTCACAGGGTCCCTTCTTCTCTAGAAAGCTCTCGTAGTAGTGTGAAGGTAGGGCAGCCTTGGGTTTGGGGAGCCGGGGTGGGCTTAGGGCTGAGGCCATGGTGGCCCAGGTCTTTGGCCTTGGCCTCTCCCTCCGGTGGGTGCCCCAGCTGGGCTGGGAAGTAGAGAAACCGGTTCCAGGGGAATTTTCTCTTCTGTCAACTTCCCAGTTCCCTCCTCTGCCAGCTCTGGGCGGGTGCTGGGCCAGGCAGGTTGTCCTCAGGGAAATCCCAGCCTCTCTGGTCTCCCCAGGAAGTCTGGGAGGCCCGCTGGAGTTGGGGAGGAGGGAGCCACTGGGAGGCTCTCAGTGCTGAGCAGAGACTGGGCAGAGGGCGCACCGGGAGGAGGGATCTGCCTAAGCAAAGGTCTGGATGTGAGAAAGGGAGGAGGAGCATGGTGCCAGAGTGGCAGTGGATGTGCCCAGAGAGGACACAGCAGGAACAGCGCGTGAAGGCCTGAATGCGCGTTAAGCTGCCTGCACGTTACACCAATATTCCCTAAATGTACAAAAAAAAATCTTGCTGGGATGGTGATAGGAATTGTACCTGTGGATCACTGGGAGCCGACATGACATCTTCACTGTGTCAAGTCTTTGTTTTTTGGGTTTTTGTTGTTGTTTGTGTGTATGTAGGGTTTTTTTTTTTTTTTTTTTTAGACTTTATTTTTATGTAATCTGTACAGCCAACATAGGGCTCTAATCTACAATCCCAAAATCAAGAGTAACGTGCTCCACCAACTGAGCCACCCAGGTGCCCCCATTTAAAAAAATTATTTAAGGGGTGCCTGGGTGGCTCAGTCTGCTAAGCGTCCGACTTCAGTTCGGGGCATGATCTCAGGTCTGTTGTTCATCACAGGGTGCCTGGGGGGCTCAGTCGGTTGAGCGTCTGACTCTTGATCTTGGCTCAGGTCATGATCTCATGGTTGGTGGGTTCGAGCCCCGTGATGGGCTCTGCACTGACAGCTCAGAGCCTGGAGCCTGTTTCAGATTCTGTGTGTCCCTCTCTCCTATCCCTACCCCCTCATGCCTTTTCTCTCTCAGTCTCTGAAAATTGAATAAACCTTAAAAAAATTTTAAAGACTTTATTTAAGAGGCTCCTGGCTGGTTCAGTGGGATGAGCATGAAGAGACTCTTGATCTTGGGGTCATGACATTGAGCCCCATGTTGGGAGGTACATTGTACTTTAAAAAAATGTATTTATGGGCACCTGGGTGTCTGAGTTGGTTGGTTAACCTTTGGACTTTGGCTCAGGTCATGATCTTGCAGCTCCTGCGTTCGAACCCCACGTCGTGCTGTCTGCTCTCAGCACAGGGCCCGCTGAGGATCCTCTCTGCCTCTCATTCTCTCTGTCCCTGGCCCCCCAATACATAAACATTTAAAAACTTATTTATAATATTTTAAAAATATTTTTATTTATTTCTAAGAGAGAGAGAGAGAGAGAGAGAGTGTCAGCGTGAGCAGGGGAGGGTCAGAGAGAGAGGGAGATACAGAGTCCAAAATAGGCTCCAGGTTCTGAACTGTCAGCACAGAGCCCGGCGCGGGATTCGAACCCACAAACTGTGAGATCATGACCTGAGCCGAAGTCAGACGCTTAACTGACTAAGCCACCCAGGCGCCCCTAAAAACTTGTTTAAAGCTTTTATTTAAATTCCAGTAGGGGCGCCTGGGTGGCTTAGTCGGTTAAGCGTCCGACTTTCGCTTAGGTCATGATCTCGCGGTTCGTGGGTTCGAGCCCTGCGTTGGGCTCTGTGCTGACTGCCAGCTCAGAGCCTGGAGCCTGTTTCAGAGTCTGTGACTCCCTCTCTCTCTGACCCTCCCCTGCTCATGCTGTCTCTCTCTCTCTCTCCTAGAAATAAATAAAAAACATTAAAAAAAATCATTAAATTCCAGTAATAGTAGTTTCAGGTATACAATATAGTGATTCAACAATTCCTTCCGTACAATATCCATCATCATGACAAGTGCATGCCTTCATCCCCATCACCTATTTCACCCCTTTCACCCCTCCCCCCCCTCTGGTAACCAGCAGTTTGTTCTCTGCAGTTAAGAGTCTCTTCCTTCCCTTCCCTCCCTTTCCTTCCTCTCCCCTCCCCTCCCTTCCCTTCCCTTCTTTCTTTTAGATTTATTTATTTATTTACTTTGAGAGAATACGTGTGTGAACAGGGGAGGGGCAGAGAGAGGGGTAGACACAGAATCCTAAGCAGGCTCCTCATTGTCGGCCTGGAGCCCGACTCGGGGCTCAAACTCACGAACCGTGAGATCATGACCTGAGCCAAAACCAAGAGTCGGATGCTTAACCGACTGAGCCTCACAGGTGCCCCTAAGAGTCTGTTTCTTAAGGGGCATCTGAGTGACTTGGTTGAGTGTCCAACTTCGGCTCAGGTCACGATCTCACGCTTGTGGGTTCGAGCCCCACGTCGGGCTCTGTGCTGACAGCTCAGAGCCTGGAGCCTGTTTCAGATTCTGTGTCTCCCTCTCTCTGACCCTCCCCTGTTCATGCTGTCTCTCTCTCTCTTTCTCAGAAATAAATAAAACATATAAAAAATTAAAAAAAACATTAAAAATTTTTTTAAATGTGTCTGTTTCTTGAGTTGCCTCTCTCTCTCTCTCTGCGTCATGCATGAGGGTTGGAATCAACTCCTTCCAAATTCCTGGTACTGTTAATATTTTGCCGTCTTCCCATGAGCCACCGAAAGCATATAATGATAATGGAAATGTTTGGAATGTTATAAAAATTACCAAAATTAGACACAAAGTGAGCAAATGCTGTTGGAAAAATGGTGCTGCTTGATGCAGGGTCTCCACACACCTTCAATTTATTTAAAAAAAGTGGGGCGCCTGGGTGGATCAGTCGGTTAAGCGTCTGACTTCGGCTCAGGTCACTATCTCGCGGTTCGTGGGTTCGAGCCCCGTGTCGGGCTCTGTGATGACAGCTCGGAGCCTGGAGCTGCTTCCGATGCTGTGTCTCCTGCTCTCCATGCCCCTCCCCTGCTCACGCTCTGTTTCTCTGTCTCTCTGTCCTCAAAAACATTAAAAAAAGAAATTTAAATTCCAGCTGCACCTTAAATCCCCTTTGCCTTGTAACCTAACATATTTACAGGTCCTGGGGATGTGAACATCTGTAGGGAGCCACTATTCCATGACCACAGCCTGTTAAACATGATGGATAACATTTATTGATTTCTTGAATACTGAACCCGCTATGCATCCCTTGAGTAAACTCCATTCGGTCATGGTGTGTCATTCTTTTTATATATTGCCAAATTCTATTTCCTAATATTTTGTTAAGAAATGTTTGTGTGTGTGTGTGTGTGCCTGTAATCATGAGGAATACGGTCTGTAGTTTTTCTTTCTTGTAAAATTTTTTTGTATTGTCCTTATCAGGTGTTGATTATCAGGGTAATGCTAGCTTCATAAAATGATTGTGGGCTTGGGGGAGGGCGCCTAGGTGGTGTCTGACTCTTGATTGTGGCTCAGGTCACAATCTCACAGCCTTGAGATGGAGCCCCAAGAAGGGATCTGTGTGGACAGTGTGGAGCCTGCTTAAGATTCTTTCTCTCTGTCTCTTCCCCTCCCCCATTTATGCACTTGATCCATCGGTCTCTCTCTCTCTCTCAACAAAAAATTAAGTGAATTGGGAAGTGTTCCCTCCTCTTCAAGTTTCTGGAAGACATTTTTGAAAAAAGTGGTGTTAATTCTTTGGATCTTTGGTACAATTCTCCATGTGGGATCTGGAAATTCATTTTTAAGGAGTCTTAAAATTACAAATTCAGTTTCCTTAATCGTTACAGGATTGCCTGGACTTTATACACATAGCAAAAAAAAATAGCCTTTGTGATCTACTCGAGAGCCGTGTGACTTGGCAGTCTTTTCATCTGATGAGCTAATAACATTGATAACAATACCTGCTGTAAAGGGGTGCCATGGGGACACCTGGGTGGCTCAGTCGGTTGAATGTCTGATGTCAGCTCAGGTCACGATCCCAAAGTCCTTGGATAGAGCCCTGCATCGGACTCCAGACTGAGCATGTAGCCTGCTTGGGGTTCTCTCTGTCTCTCTCTCCCTCCCTCCTTGAGTAGTGATTGCATTCTCTCTCAAACATAAATATTAAAACAATTAAATGTAAGCATATTTTTAAAAAGGGGTGCCATAAATAGTTAATAAGGTCGCAGCAGTTTGTTTTAATTTTATTTATCAAAGGCAGTGGGCAGCCAAAGAAGGATTTAGAGTAGGGGAGGGTGGTGTTTATAGCTGCATTTTGTTTTGTTATTTATTTATATGTTTTATTCATTTCTGAGAGAGAGAGAGACTGCGTCAGCAGGGGAGGGCCAGAGAGAGAGGGAGGTAAAGAAGCTGAAGCAGGCTCCAGGCTCCGAGCTGTCAGCACAGAGCCCGACGCGGGGCTTGAACCCACGAACCATGAGATCATGACTGGAGCCAAAGTCCGACGCTTAACCGACTGAGCCACCCCAATATAGGTGCCCCAATATAGTTGCATTTTGGTAGCATCCTTCTGAGGCCAGTGTGAAGACGGATGAGGTGGGGGTTGTGTAGAGAGGTCTGAGGTCCAAGGTGATGACCAGGGTCCAGCTGGGAGGGGGAGGTCCGGTCCAGGGTTTTGGGAACAGAGTCAAAGGAACGTGGGGAAGGACATGGGGGAGTAAACTGAGGTCAGAGTCTAGGGCTGGTGGGGAATGCCCAGTTGGTGTCTGGACCTGCGGTGTGGGCGGGGGTGTCTGTGCGGGGAAACTGCAAAAGGAGTCGGGGGCTTGACAAAAAAGAGTAGTAATTTCCATTTGCTCAGCTCTTACTAGGTGTCAAGCCTATTCTCTGACAACCATGGGCACTAATTATTATTGTCCCCATGGTGAAACAGACTCGGAGCCACTCGGCCTAACACAGGGCTAGGAAGCGGTGGAGCAGGATCGGGAGCCAGGTGCTTTGATCGAAGACCACATTTGCAGAACATCCCGCCCCAACCCCTCACCTCCCGTCCCCGCTTCCAAACTGGGCGGAGTAAACCGGTCTGGGGTGGAGCCTAGCCCGCATTCCCGGCGGCTTCGGGAAGTCCCCACCCCGGCTCGCAGCCCTGCCAGGGCCTGGGGACTCCTAGTCCTGGGAAGTGTCGCTGTGCCTGGGAGCAAAGGTCCTGGGACAGGGACCGGGGACAAAGGACGGCACTGAAACCACGCCGCGGGGACCCGAACGTGCCCCGCCTCCGAGCGCCCGGCGCGAGGTGGGTGCGAAGTGGGCGGGGGGAGGGCGGTGCGCCAGGCTGAGGGCACGCCCCCGGGATCTGATTGGCTGGCAGTGGACCAAATCCTACACCTGAATGGGCACGTGAGGCTCAGGGCCTCCTGTGATTGGCCGGGACGTCCGAGTTTGGCGGAAGCAGCGGTTTAACATTGTTTGGCTGGTGGGAATCCCACGGCTGCTGCCTATTGGTTGAAGTTTAAATGACCCTCCGATAATTGGTTGGTTGGCTCCGCTTGGGTCTAACCCTGGAATTGGCCCGGAGGGGGGGTTGGGGGGGCGGTGGAAGTTAACCCTTTAGAGACTGAGGTCCGGTTTAGGCGCTTTATTTTTACTGCTTAAAATTTTTTTTTTCACGTTTATTTGTTTTTGAGAGACAGAGAGAAACACAGCATGAGCAGGGGAGGGGCAGAGAGAGAGGGAGACACAGAATCCGAAGCAGCTCCAGGCTCTGAGCTGGCTGCACAGAGCCCGACGCGGGGCTCGAACTCATGGACCTCGAGATCATGACCTGGGCCGAAGTCGGAGGCTTAACCGACTGAGCCCCCCAGGCGCCCCTATTGTTACTTTTAAAATTTTATTTTTTAAAAGTAATCTCTACACCCAAGATGGAACTTGAATTTACAGCCCCGAGGTCAACAGGCGCACGCTTTGCGGACTGAGCCAGCCAGGCTCCCCGCCTCAGGCGCTTCAGACCTTCCCCACTCGGCCCGCAGCCCCAGGGCGCTGTGGCTCCTTCCCTGGGCCTCAGTTTCTCCCCTGGTCTCCACAGCCGAGACTTCTCGTCCCTCAAGTGTCACATCCCATCCGGTCCCAGTGAACTGAGTCTCCCATGTCCCCCGCGCCCCCCAGCTCCTGGTCTAAATGCGGCAACAGGCCGCCTCAGTGGAGCCACTATTTCCCCCAAAGCGGAAGTCCCGGGGCCTCAGTTTCCCCCCTTGTAGGTTGCCACTCGCCTCCCACGGAAGGCGGCCGTGAGCCTCCGTTTTCCCGCTGGTGCGGGGGGCAGGCCGAGCCCTCCTCCCGCCCCCGGGCTGGGGCTCCTCCTCCCCGGGGCGGAGCCGTGTCACGTGCCGGGAAGAAAGAGCCAGCGGCGCGCCAGTCGCACGCGACGCAGCGCGCTCTGGGCGGAGCGGCCATGGCAGGTACTGTGGGCCTGGCTGCGGGTCGGGGTGGGCAGCGTGGGGTCGGGAGGCCCGGGCGGCCGCGGGCGCGCGGCCCCTTGCAGCCTGTCGCCGTCCGCAGCTCCGGAGCCGCTGTCCCCGGCGGGCGGCACGGGCGAGGAGGCACCGGATGAGGACGAGGACGAGGCGGAGGCCGAAGACCCCGAGAGGCCGGCTGGAGCTGGCGGCGCGCGCGGAGGGGGCGGCGGCGGCGGCGGCGGCGCGGCCGGAGCCGGGGCGGGGCCGGGGGGCTGCGGCGGGCCGGGGGGCGCGCTCACCCGGCGCGCGGTCACGCTGCGGGTGCTCCTCAAAGATGCTCTGCTGGAGCCCGGCGCCGGGGTGCTATCCATCTACTACCTGGTGAGCGTCCCCATTCCCCCCATCCCATCCCGGCTGGGGCAGGAAGGGGAAACTGAGGCTCCCTGTCCCCGGCCGAGCCCACGTGTGGGGGGGGGAAATTGAAACGGAGCATCCAGACCCTGCATGAGCCCTTCTGGGCTGTAGGCCATCGTTTACCAAACAGCCCATTCCACGAAGGAGAAACTGAGGCTCGGCCGCTTTCCTGGTTGTGTGACCTTACTCAGCCTGTCCATATCCTGGTTTCCTCGTCTGTAAAATGGGATTTTTTTTTTTCCTCTCGCGGGGTTGTATGAGGGTCAAAGGAATACAGCGCCCAGCAGGCCGCCTGCTACACTGTGCTTCCCACGTTTGCTGCCGTAGCTCTGTGCCCTGTGAATGGGGACAGTTCGTGAATGGAGCACTTGCTGTGTGGCAGGCTGTGTGCTGTTAGGACCCCAGCAGGCCCTGCCCCTGCCCCTTGGGGGTTCCCGGTCCGGTGAGTGGGTGGGCAGACATAGAGCTGGGCAGTTTTAATCCAGGCTGATGAGGACTGACTGTGGACATCCAGGGACGGGGAGGCACGTAAGCCGGAAGGCTTCCTGGGAGGGATGCTGTGGGCAGAGATGGGTGCCAAGCCCTGGGGAGCAGCGGGGGGTCCAGGAACACTTCCTGGAGGTGCCGTCGCGGGCACCAGGCCCCCGGCGCAGCCATGCCGCTGTTACTTACTGCAGGGGAAGAAATTCATGGGAGACCTACAACCCGACGGGAGGATCGTGTGGCAGGAAACGGGACAGGTGTTCAACTCACCCAGCGCCTGGGCCACCCACTGCAAGAAGCTGGTGAACCCGGCCAAGAAGTCCGGCTGTGGCTGGGCCTCGGTCAAGTACAAGGGCCAGAAACTGGATAAGTACAAGGCAGCCTGGCTCCGGCGACACCAGCTCCACGTTCCCACGGCTGCTGCCGATGAGGTGCGTCCTTCAGCCTCCTGGATCACTGTTGGATAAGGAGTACCCGGAGTGAGGGCATTGGAGCTGGGGCTCTGCGGGATGAACAGGAGTTTGGTAGAGCTAGGTGAAGGGCGGAATGGCACAGCAGAGCCACAGAGGTAGGAAGCAACATGATTGGCTGATACAGCCAGAGGCTTGCATGTCTTAAGTAGCTGAGGGGCCGGGGAGACAGTGGCCAGGACCAGACCTGGGAGTTTCCAATGCTATGATAGTAATCTATCTTTGAATATTCACCAGCTGGTGAACTTGGCCTACGGCCCTCTCAGGGTGCTAATTCTTCTTCGTATGTAAATGGAGATAACAGTATCTGTATGTATCTTCTACGTATATTTGGCTGGAGATCTGAAATCTGCAGGGCGGATGGCATGCTGGAAACAGGCCGGGAGCACAGGGTTTTTACCCCGAGGTGGGGGGGAGCACAGGAAGGCAGAGAGGCTGGACTGACCTGACTCAGGTGCCCATACGCGCCCCCTGGTGGCCTCTGTCTGGCATACAGACTAGCGGGGGAGGCGATGGTGAAAGCTGGGGACCACGATGCGGGTGACAGAACTGGTCCAGGCAGGAGATGATGGCGTGGACCAGGTGGACACTTGATGGGGGATGAAGTGGGCAAGTTTTGGCTGATTTTAAAGGTGGATCTCACGGGATTTGCTGTCGCATCAGATGTTGCTTTGGAGAGATGTTTTGTTCCGAGCAAGTGGATGAGTGAGGCGGCCGTCGGCAGGATTGGGGAGGATTGGGGGACAGTCGGTGCAGCGTGGTGGTTGAGCTGAGTGCGAGGCGCCCGGGAGCCCCCCGGCCCCCAGGCCCCCTGGATTAGCTGGATGCTGAGTCTGGAGCTCGAGGGAGGCCCGGGCTGGAGACAGGACTGTGGGGGTGGTCGGGCCAGAGACAAGGTCCAGTCCCGAGAGTGGACGAGGCTGCCCAGTAGAGGAGCGAGTAGGGAGAGAAGTGGCCCGAGCTCCCAGGCTGCGCACCGGAGGAGGGGTGGGAGACGGAGGGGACTGGAGAGATGGGAGGGAAGCCGGGTCCCAGAGGTGCTCCCAGGAGAAGGAGCTGGGACTGGCCAGGCACCGCAGCGAGACCACGTGCCTGCTGGACACTGGACACCGAGAGGTCATCCAAGCAGGGGCAGTTGAGGGCAGATCAAGAGTGATTATGGAGAGAATCTGGTAAAATAATCCCTGTAAGCACTTGCTTGCTCAGTGAATGGATCCACAGGAGGTGTGCTATAGCTTGCAGGCATTATTTCATTTCACCCTGATGCTGTCCCTATGCGCTGGAGAGGAGGCGAATAGAGCTCAGAGAGTTTAGGGCGCTTGCCGGAAGCTGCACAGCTTGTAAAAGCGGAGAGGTTTGAGTCTCCGGCAGCTGCTGGAAGGCACTCTGAGCTGAGCTGACCAGGACCTCAGGCCGCTCTTGCTCACTCGCTCCCTCTAGTGGGCCCTTGTGGCAATGGCAGGACCCTAAGGCTCAGACCCCCCCCCCCCCCACCAGAGCCCCGCCAGTGAAGGGGAGGAAGAGGACCTGTTGATGGAGGAAGAAGAGGAGGACGTTCTGGCCGGGGTCTCCGCTGAGGACAAGAGTCGGAGACCACCTGCCAAGGGACCCTTGGAGACTGCCCACCCTGGTGAGAGGCTTGGAGGGTGGCAGGAAGCGCGCCGAACTCAGCTGAGGAGGTGGCTGCGGGGCAGATCTGGCCTTTTATTCTCAGCGCTGAGATGTGCCTGGCCAACTTCTAGTTCCACTGCCTAATTTCTTTCACGCTGCCTTTTTTTTTTAATGTTTATTTTGAGAGCTAGAGAGAGCGAGAGAGATCCTGAGCAGGGGAGGGGCAGAGAGAGAGAGGGAGAGAGAGAGAGAGAGAATCCCAAGCAGGCTCCGTGCTGTCATTGCAGAGCCCGACTGGGGCTCAACCCACAAACCCTGAGATCATGACCTGAGCCGAAATCAAGAGTCGGGTCCCCCCCACCCCCCTACTGGCCTCTTCAGCCCTAATGCTGGATTCCTTGGTCCCGCTGCCTGATTTCTTCACCATGCTCCCCTGTAGGATTTCTTTGTCTGATGCCTCTGGCCCCTGCCTGGTTTCCTGGAGTGGGGTGCCCGCCTGATTTCCTAAGTCCTTCCTCTGGTATTTTAATCTTTTTTTCCAGTGCATTAACCCGCCACTCGATCTCTGGGTTCTGGGGCCTGAGTTTTGAAGCTACCCCTGGAGGGTTTTTTCCTTGGGTTTCTTGGTCTTTGTTTTGCATTTTGGGGTGGGGGAGGGATTGAGGCGGCCTTCTCCCCCTCCCCCGCCCCACAGAGGCCACGCCCCCTGGGAAGCAGGTGGAAAACAAGATCCGGGTCCCTGTGCGGTACTGCATGCTGGGCAGCCGGGACTCTGCCAGGTCAGACACACCCTGTGCCCGCTGCACCCCCACCCCCAGATGTACTGGCTCCGGTTGCAGGGGGTGAGAATGGGGGGTGGGGGGCATAAGGCCTCAGGTGCTCAGTGCTGGCTCTGGCCGGGGGCCTGGGGAGCTGGCTTGGGGCTGAGCTCCTGAAGCCGCGGGACCCTCTGGTTCCTACAGGAACCCCCACACCCTGGTGGAAGTAACATCCTTCGCCGCCATTAACAAGTTCCAGCCGTTCAATGTGGCCGTCTCCAGCAATGTGCTCTTCCTGCTGGTGCGTGCCCAGCTGTCACCTTGTCCCTTGAGGGCCAAGGGCCAGACCTGGGCAGGTGGCTGGGGCGCCTGGAAGGGGTCCCTGGGAGGTTAGCTCTACGAGGGCAGAGGCCTTTTCTGTTTTGTTCAGTACTGGTAAACAGTAGGCACTCAATCCGTGTTTCAGTGGAGGAGGGGGAAGCCGGTGGGGTGGTGCCTGCACATCGCAGGGGCTCAGCCCAGAGGGGGGGCATTTGGGACCGGGCCGCAGCCTGAGCCGCTCTTCTGGTGTCCGTCCCCTCCCCAGGACTTCCACAGCCACCTGACTCGAAGCGAGGTCGTGGGGTACCTGGGGGGCCGCTGGGACATCAACAGCCAGAGTGGGTATTTGGGGCCAGGTGGGCAGGGGGGGTCTGTGTTTGGGGCCGGGGTTGGTGTCTACACCTTCTCCTCGCCTCCGCGCAGTGCTCACGGTGCTGAGAGCCTTCCCCTGTCGGAGCCGGCTGGGGGACGCGGATACGGCGGCCACCATGGAAGAGGAGGTGAGGGGGTGCGTGGGGTCAGGGTGTCGTGGGGAGGGGTGCCTTGGACACAGCTGTCCTGGCTACCCCGTCCCGGTAGCTAGCAGTGCAAAACAAGTGTGCCAAAGAGTGTGTGTGAGCGCCCGCTCCAGGGGTGTGACCTGTGACCCTGTCCGTGGCCCTCCTTCCCTGAGCCTCCGATTCCACACCGTGCCTGGCACATTGTAAAAGCCCCGTGAGGGGCGCCTGGGTGGCTTAGTCGGTTAAGCGTCCGACTTTCGCTTAGGTCATGATCTCGCGGTTCGTGGGTTCGAGCCCCGCGTCGGGCTCTGTGCTGACTGCCAGCTCAGAGCCTGGAGCCTGCTTCAGTCTGTGACTCCCTCTCTCTCTGACCCTCCGCTGCTCACGCTGTTTCTCTCTCTCCTAGAAATAAATAAAAATATTTAAAAAAACAAAACAAACAAACAAAAAAGCCCCGTGAATATTGGTTGCTGTTCTTAATAGAGTTGTCATAGTGGTGCTTTGTATGTGCCGGGCACGGTGCCCCACGCGCCACACCCACCTAACCGCTGACATGGGGACAGGTGAATGGGTGCGGATTCGGCTCGGTCTCTCGGCCCACCCCTTCCTTGGTCCTTATGCCAGCGCTTGCCTCTGCCTGCCGAAGGCATCTAGAAAAGCCTGTTCCTGCTCAAGGGCCCACACGGCCTCCTGTGTAACTATTTGAGTGCCTACTGCGTGCCGGAAATTGCGGATACTGCACGCCGAAGATAAGCTTTTGCCTTTGCTTTGTGACAGGTGTATCTTTTTGATGTATTTGTTGACCCTCCCCCCTCCACTGGCCTCCTTGAGGGCGGGGGCAGGGTCTGTCTTGGTACCGCTGTGTCCCCAGGGCAGGCATGCAGCAGGCACATATTAATTGCTGGCCTCGAATGGGGATGGAGCAGGTGCGCTGGCGGCTGGGAGGGGTGGGTGCGGCTCCCCCGGCCCTACCGCAGCCTCGCCTGTGCCCCCAGATCTACCAGAGCCTGCTGCTGCGCGGCCTGTCCCTGGTGGGCTGGTACCACAGCCACCCGCACAGCCCCGCGCTGCCGTCGCTGCAGGACATCGACTCGCAGATGGACTACCAGCTGCGGCTGCAGGGCTCCAGCAACGGCTTCCAGCCGTGCCTCGCCCTGCTCTGCTGTAAGTGCGGGCGGGGGCGCGCGCGCGGGCCGGCGGGGGCGCGCGCGGGCCGGCGGGGGCGCCGACCCCACTCCCGTTGCTCTCGCTGTCCTGCAGCCCCTTACTACGCTGGCAACCCGGGCCCCGAGTCCAAGATCTCCCCCTTCTGGGTGATGCCGCCCCCTGAGGTAGGCGGGGCTGTGGGGCGAGGCAGGGCGGGCCGGGAGGGGCCTGTTGATGGTCCGTGGCCAGGACTCTGGTTCTGGGTTCATTTAGGGGAGCTGGGGCCTCAGTTTCCCCCGTGAGATGGGAACATGACCGCCGCACCGTCCGAGGCTCCCAAGAGGGCCGGGGTGGTGACCGATGGTGAAAAGGTGCGGGCGTCACGTGCAGCGTGCCGCCCTTACCGCCAAGGCGGCCTCCCTCCCGAACCTTGCCCCGTGCCGTTCCCCAGGTCTGTCCCGGGGCCAGAAATCGGGGTTGGGGAGCAATTCCAGGGTGTGTGGCTCGCTTCTCGGCCTCTCCTGCTGGGGGCAGGGCCACACCGCCTCCGGAATCGCACCGCGGCCTTCGGTGGAGGACTCACGTGCTCTGAACCTGGTGGCAGCGTGACCCTCTGCTGGCCCCGGACACGTCCCTCACGGGATCGGAGGCTGTGAGTGACTGACTTGTGTCCCTGCCAGCAAAGGCCCAGTGACTACGGCATCCCCATGGACGTGGAGATGGCCTACGTCCAGGACAACTTCCTGACTAATGACATCCTTCATGAGATGGTGAGCTCACTCCTGGGTGGGGCGCACAGGGCCCCTGAGAGGGGCGGGTGGAGCTGCCGGGCCCAGGATGGCTGAATGTGCCACATCAGGGCAGGGGTCAGACTCCTGGTCTGGGGCTGAAAATCACCTGTGGCTCTGAGGCTCGAGCCCCTGATCCTTGCCCACCTGCTTCCCCACCTGACCTTACTGTTCTGGAACTTACGGGAGGCGCGGCGCCCCGCCCCCCACCTCTGCACCCGCACTGATTCCCCAAATGGAGGCACGTGAGGGGACTTGAGGACCCAGCTGGCTTTTAGCATCAGGGTTCCAACCGGCATTTAAAACAAGGAGCTAGTGGGTCATACCTGGGGGATCACGGAGAGTTTTGCGGACGCTGCACGAGGGGGCGGGGTCAGGCCCCTGCGGATACGCAGTCCCGCGTCTCACGCACTCCGCGTGCCTCCCGCGCCTGGGGCCGCTCCAGTCCCCGCTCGGGGGCCTCCTGCTGAGCCACCCTCGTCCCACCTGGTGGCCCTGCTCAGCGGTCTGGGTCCCGGGTGCCCCCTGCACCTGGCACGGGAGGGCGGGCGCGAGCGAGGCGTCCCAGCGGCCCCCTGCCCCGCAGATGCTGCTGGTGGAGTTCTACAAGGGCGCCCCTGACCTCGTGAGGTTCCAGGAGCCCTGGAGCCAGGAGCACACGTACCTCGACAAGCTGAAGGTGAGATTCGTGTCCCGTGCAGACCCCTTGGGAAGCCCATTTCTGGGGACCCCTGAGAATCCATCCCTGGGCAGCCCGAGGAAGTGCTGTCCCAAATCGTCCCGTGTGACGTATTTTAGCTGCGTGTCACCGCTGCCTGCCAGCTGTCTTGTTGGCTCCCAGCCAGGTGGTCGCAGTGACCGAGCGCCCCATTCCAGCGCAGATAGAAAGGGGGCCGCCCACTCGAGTGCAGAAGCGGGGGGCGGTTCAGAGCTCCCAGCGCCGGCAGAGCGCGGAGCAGAGGTGTCTGCGGCTCGCTGGCCCTTCCGTCAGTCAGTGGGACGCTGTAGGGCTTGGCCCCGGCGTGTGACCGGCTTCCTGCTTGGAAGCCCTCAGAGAAATGCAGGTTTGCACGTTTGCTTGTTTTGTTCAAATTTCAAGAGTGACCGGAGCTTCCGGCTGCCACAGGTCACCTCCACCCTGTCCCTGGGCTGGTGGGGCGGGGGCGGCCCCCCACGCAGGGGCTGAGAGAGCCTGGATGGGAGGCGGCTGGGAAGAAAGCAGGATTTGGAATGTGCAGATGCCCGTCCCCCCAAAACCCAGAACATTCGCGTGAGCAGGCCACCTCATTTATAACTAAAACCTTGCCTTGGGGACACTACCGTGTAGGGTGGCTAGTAGAGGGGAGCCGGTGAGACCAGGACAACAGGGCACAGCCCTGAGGCGCCGGCCCTGCCCCTTTCAGATCTCTCTGGCCAGCAGGACGCCCAAGGACCAGGGCCTGTGCCACGTGCTGGAGCAGGTTTACAGCCTTCTCAAACCAGGGGGCTGAGGGGACCATGCAGCGGCTGGGGCGCGGGTAATAAAGGACAGAAGCAAAGAGCCTGGGCGTGTGTGTCACGGGGGGGGGGGGGGCGCGGGGGCTGCACCTGTCCCTGTGCACCCAGACTGCTCTGGGCAGCGGGACAGGAGGGGCCCCTCAGAGCACCCATGGTGTGGACTCCCTGGGGCCGCAGGACGCCTGGAGGACGTCCTGCCCGCGCTGCTGGCTGGGCACCGGCCTGGCTCTGGGTGTCCAGCGGAGCCGGGGGAAAGAGCCGCCCTGCACCCCAATCAAGCAAGAGGCTGTAGAAAGAGACATTTAATACTTTAAAAAAAGAATCAGGATTACATTTCAATCTGCCCTTGGTTGCGACCCAGGTTACACCGCTCGTGTCTGCTGGGAGGTCTGCGCCCCCCCCCCGTGGATGGCAACGAGGGGCCTCAGAGCCCGGTGTCCCTGGGGCTTTGCAAGGTGATCAGAGGAGGGGAATGTGATCCAGTCCCGAGGTCCCCTGGTCAAGCCAATTTTTGGATTAGGCAGGAGGGGAAGTGGAGGCAGGGCTCAGCTCTGCTGGGCAGGGCAGCTGCCGCCTTGGTCTGTGTGTAGGGAGATGGCAGTGGCTGCCCTGTAACCCTCCGGAGGGTGGTCCCGGGGGGGGGGGGGGGGCTGAGGGTGCCTGCAGGACAGCGGCTGTGGTGCGCACGGCTGGTGGTGGCGGTTTGTGCCACAGGAACGTCCCGTGTGCTTGTCTGGGTTGGGGCCCCCGACACGTGGGAAGGGAAGCAGGGGTGCGGGGCAAGGCAGAGGGCGCTGGAGGAGGGAGACCACAGCACCTCCGAGGCTGCTCGGAGAGGGCCGGTCTTTAGGGGAACCCTGAGGACCCCAGCCTGTCTCTCCCCAGGGAGGTGGCATCCGCGGGTGTGCCCTGCCTGGGGAGCCCTGGAGTTGGGGCTGGGAGGGAGTGTTGGGGTGAAGTGGAAACCAGGGTGGGGGATCTGGGCCAGGGGTCCTGCTCAGAACACCCGTCTCCTGTTAAGGGCAGGTCTCCTGGCACGGGAAGGGGGACGGGGTGTGTGCACGCGCATGTGTGAGGGAAGGGGCCCCCTGGAGTTACCCGTTCCTGGAGGGGTGGGAGGAAGTTAGTGTTTCTAAGAGCACCTTAGTGTTAGCCCCCTCCGGGCACCGGGAGCAGAGATACTGCCCGGCCCCCAGCCTGCCGCGTAGACTGGGGACCGTGGGTGGCCCTGGCAGACGCAGGCCCCTCCCCGACATCCAGCCCGGCTGCCCTGGCGAGGCCCGCCTTCCCCGGCGCCCTGGGAGCGCCCACGGGCACCGTCGCAGCTGCACAGGCGGGTGGAATGCAGGCCATCCGGACGGGGCCGGGGCGACGCAGTCACTGCGGCAGGGGCACGAGCACCTCCACGTAGCTGAGGGGGAAGAAGCCCGACTGGCCGTGGAGCATGCCCTCGTACCAGTTCTCGTCGATCTGGTTGGTCAGCGTGATGACGTCACCCTCATGGAAGCCCAGCTCCCCCGCATTCTCAGGCTCGAAGTCGTACAGAGCCTTGCAGCTCGGCTGGTCCAGTGGGGCTGGGGGGTGGGGGTTGCTCGGCTCAGACCGATGGCTCCTCCCCTCCCTCCCGCCCCTCCTGGTTGGCCTGTGGGCCGCGCCCCCCCCCCCCCCCCCGGCTTTGTCAGGAAGAACAAGGAGCAAGAGGCTCTGTCGAGCAGCCAACAAAATCCTCCTGGGAAGAGCTAGGGACGCCCAGGGGCATGGGGTTGACAGGTGCCAGGAGCCCCCGGCATGGAGAGCCTGTGGGATACCCCCTCAAGCCGCCGGGGAGGCTGGGGGCCAGAGAGGCCATGCCGCGCCGCCTGCGCCCAGCTCCACCCCTGCCTGAGCAGGGCGGAGAGGAGGGGCATCAGGAGGGGAGACGGGCCCTCCTGACACAGTGGTGCGGACGGAGGCGAGTCGTGCGAGGGCAGGGCCCGCGCCCGCGGGGACACTCACGCATGCTCCTGCTGGGGGTCCGGATGGGCTTCTCAGAAGATCGGAAAGAGGACGAGGCTGCTTGCAGACAAAGCACAGAAGTGGGTTGAAAAAGACCCGGGGCTGGGCCTGGCTCTGCGGTCTGAAGGGGGCAGCGACTGGGGGGCAGCCCCCTGCCTCCCCGCTCACCTGTGATCTTGGGGGCCGTGGCGCAGGGGAAGCCCCCGTTGGACTGTTCCGGCTCCCCGAGGTCGAAGGGCTCCCGAGGCTTGGGTTTGTACTCCCGCCGGGGTCGGGAGGAGGCTTCCCGCATCCTGCGTGCAGGCAGGAGAGCTGTGAGCACCGGCGGCCCACGTCCCGCGCGCACCGTGGGGAAGGGCCACCGCCGCCCGGGTTCATGCTGCTGCTCCCGCGCCAGGCCTGCACAGCGGCCCCATGGGTCTAACCAAAAGCTCCCGCCCGCCACCGGTGGTTTTCCCCAGCTCGGGCCCTTGGCTGCCAGCTGGCCAGGTCCTGCCAAACCCCGAAGCCCCCTGCGCGCCTCCCTGCCTAGACCACGGCTGCCCAGGCCCCCCTCCCAGGCTCTGGACTACCGGACGGCTCTGAGACAGGAGCCCTGTGCGCCGCCGTCTGGGTAATGTGGCCCTCGGCCCGGACCTGTGACAGGCCTGGTTCTCCTGGTCTCTGCCATCCTCGGGCCACTCCCCCCACCCCCAACCGGGACAAGCCCAACGACGCCTTCCTCCTGGAACCCCTGCCCGGAGTGCGGTCTCGCAGAAGCTGGTGGTGTCCTGGGTGCCCTGAAGGACCAGCCCAGGCACCCGTGGGAGAACCCCGGGGTCCTGGGCGCCCTGGCCAAGCACGAAGCAGGGTGGGGCTCACCGTCGCTTGAGCTTGTCGGCCAGCTCGTCCAGGATCTGCACGGCCTGCCGGTGGTAGTCCAGCTGGGCATCCACCAGCGCGGACAGCTGGCTCACCTGCTCGATCTGCAGAGGGGCCGCCCACTGAAGGGGAGGCTCTCCCTGTGAGCCCTCCCTCCAAGGCCCCCAGTTTTAGGGAGCCTCCCCAGACTGCTTCTGGCATAGGGCCGCCCCTCCCCCTGTGCCTGACCCTCTCCTGCAGCCGGAGGTGCCCCCTTAGGTCCCGCCGCCGCCGCCGCCCTTTCAGGCTGACTGGGGGCTGAACTCACTGTGGGTGGGGCACGCGTGACTCCGCCCACAGGCCCCGCCTCCAGGGAGGCCCCGCCCACGGGCCCCGCCTCCAGGGAGGCCCCGTACATCCGTCTCCAGGAGGTTGTGCATGCTGGTCTCGGCCACCTCCTTGGACTCCTCGAACTTCTCCAGGGCCTGGCGCAGCTCCTCGTCGGGGATCCTGCCCTGCCGCTTCTTCTTGTAGTCGAAGTCCAGGCGGCGGCCCTCCAGCTTCTTCAGGTGGTGCTGGGGTCGGGGGGTGCGTGTGAACTGGGGGGCCGCACAGGGGGTCTGGGCGGCGAGGAGGGGGACAGGGAGGGGCAGGGGCAGCACCTGGATCTCCTTCAGGTCTTTGTCACACAGATTCTGCAAGGGGTCGATGAAATTCTGCTTGACTTCTATGTCCAGGGAGTCTTTGACCTCTGCCAGGCGCTTCATGGACTCCCCAGCATCCAGCAGGGCGTCGCCTGCAGCAGAGCGGGGGAGAAACTGGCACGGGAGGTCGTCGCCTAGGCCCTCCCCCCACTAAAAAACTGCCCTCTGAGCCCAGATGCCAGACTTCAGGAGCAAATAAGGGACCCTATGGGCGGAACCTGAGCCCCGGAAGCCAGAAGCCGGCGATGACGGGGTCTGACATGCTCCCGCTCCAAGGACCAGCCTCCCCAGAGTCCGCTGCAGGGCAAGCCTGCTGGAGGCCGCGGCCCTACAGCCAACAACACCCCGATCGTCCCTCGTCCCCGCAGCCCTCACCAAAGTTGGACTCGCCGCCCAGCTCCTTGCCGTGGCGGATCATGCACTCGCCCAGCAGGCCCTCTGACTGCGGGTAGCCCGGGTTCTTCACCTGCCCGCGGATCTTGGACACGGTATTGAGCATCGTCAGCTTGGCCCGCGAGGCTGGAACAGAGCGGGCTGGGTAGGCACGCAGCTGGTCTCTCTCACGAAGCCCCGAGATCTGCACTCGAGAGGCTGCTTCTCTCTGGGTTCCTCCCTCTCCCCAACACCCTTCTTCCTAAAGCACAGCCATCAGCCACAAAGGAGCCCTGGCAGGAGGCAGGGGTGGCCAGCTCCTCAGGGCCCCTCTGGGCTTCCTCGTCCCGCAGCCCAGCTCTGACCGAGAAGCCGCCTTCCCTGGCCTGGGGAGGAGCACCTCAGAGAAGGGGAGGGGGGCAGGTACAGGTGTGCACTGGTGCCCCAGACCCAACCCCACCTGAGGTGGGGGTGGGGCACGCTTCCCTCCACCTGCCCCAGGCTGAAGGGACACAGCTGGTGTTGCTGCCCATCCCACATCCATCACCTGCTACAGGAACCTGTATTTGGATTTCCCTCAGGGGAAGGTCCCTGTCCCCATCTTGGACTAGGGGACCCCCACCTCATGCTCCAAAGGTGGGCAGGTGGCTGCGGCCCAGCAAAGGGGCGGGCAACCAATTCCTACTGGTCTAATGAGTCGGTTCTGCGGAAAAGATGCTCCCCTTTGCTGGGACTGTCAGGGTGACAAGGCTGGGCCAGCCCTCCCCACCGTGCGACCCAGCCACACACACAACCCGCCTGCCCTGGGCATTTCAGTTCGGAGCCCGTATTCCCCTTCGTGCTCCAGTGACCAGAACGCCCCCCGTGGGTACAGACCCTCCCGGCCGGCTGGCCCCCACCTGGGTTGGGCTGCAGGTACTCAATGGTCCTGGCCAGCACTTCCGTCACAGCCTTGCTGGTAACGTCCACCTTCTGTGGAGAGAGGCGGTGTGTGGGGGTGTGGCAACCGTCACGGCACCTGAGGCCAAACCAGGGGCCCCTGGCCGGCCCTCGCCGCCCCCCCCAGCCCCACCCGCCTCAGAGCCCACACAAGGGCCGCCTGCCGCTCAGAGGGCTGCCGGCCTCCCTGCCTCCTCGGGGTTTGCTACACGGGTCCCCCAAAGCTGGGGATCCGTCCACGTAGGAGGCCCCCTGCAGCGCATATGTGGCACTGTGGCCACGGGCGTTTGGCCAACGGTGCTGAGCACCAGTCAGGGAGCACGGCCTCTCCTGGTACCTTCTCCATCTCTTTGAAGTCCTCATCGAGCTTGGTCCCTTCGGCCCCTCCGACCTTCTCACTGACCAGCTGGGGGACAGAAGGAGGGAAAACAGTGTGAGCCTCAGATGAAGGAGAGGCCTGAGGAGGCTCTCCAGCCACGTCCACCGCCAGCAGGAGCGGATCAAGGGGTCGGCACGCCCACGGTGGTCCCCCAGGGATGGCGAGCTCGGCAGCCAAGGGTGAGGTGGGTGGCTGAGCCACCACGGAGCTCCAAACCCACACCTCCTTCAGACCCAAGGTGGCCATGCCTACCCCTTGAGCGTCCCCCACTCCCGGAGACCGGCCTAGGGCCAGCCAACAGCTCAGTGATGTCCCCTCATGGGGTTTAGCTGCCCACACCCAGCGGCGCCACAGTTCAGCTCTAGGCGTGGGGAAGAGGTTCACCAAAGCCTCTTTGCTCAGGGAATCACACAGCTCCCTCTCCCCACTTTCCTGGCATCTCCGGGAAGGAATCTCGGGAAGCTGGGGCTAACGCTTCCCCGACACGGACCCTCCCCGGGCACCTCTGAGAAGCCAGCAGGCCTGCAGCGAGGCGGCCCCGTGCTGGAACGGATGTGGGGACTGCCTGGTCTCTTTGTGGCCCGTGCCCCTCAACAAAGGTCAAGGAGACAGGGCCGAGGGCCCCAGTGGGTCAGGGGTTTTCTACTGGGCTGAGCCTGGGAGTCCAGGGAGGGCCTGGGGTGCAGGTGAGAGGTGAGGCCGCTGCTGGGGGGCGGGGGTGGGCGGGAAGGAAGCGGGGCTGCTGCAGGGCCTGCCCCGTGACTGCTGCCACCTGGGGTGGCCTGGGCCGAGCGCCACCCTCCCAGGGACCTCGTAGGGGGGCAGGGGCCGCCCTCCTGCTTCCGCGAGCCACTCTGTGAGGAATGCTGGGCACTGGGAGGGCGTTCCGCTTTACTCCACGGGACGGTTTCGGTTCTTTTGATGATGATAAAACAGGACGTTCTCAAATTCAGTGGTTGCCAGAGAGGGAAATGAGTTCACTGGCTGACGTGAGACCAGGCTCTTCTGGTGAACTGGGAGGGAGCTGAAGCATCAGTGCTCAAAACCACACCTTCCGGGGCCCCGGGTGCAGGAAGACACGGACACAGGCATGGGGCCGACGGGGACAGGTCTCCTGGGCAGAAGCCACATCCTTCCCCCCAGAAGAGGGGTGCGGGGAGACCCTGCAGTCTTCCAGAGGGGATGGGGGGGCCCGGGAGTGGTGCCTCCCTTGGGAGCCCTCAGCTCCTCAGCACCACGCGTGAGGCCGGCTTTTCCAGGCCGTCCATGCACTTGGGTCCCTACCAGTCTCCCCTCACCCCCGGGAGCTCCAGGCTCCGGTCCCTCAGGGAGCAGCTGACTGTCCCCCACATCCTCTCCCTCCAGGGCTCATGGCCTTGGAACCAGCCCAAACAGATGAAAACATGACAAGAAGCCCAAATGCCAAGGGAGCCATGCAGCAACGGCAGCAGCAGGAGCCCGCACCTCTGCGTGTGGGGCCCCCGGGGCGCAGGCCGCATCCAGCAGACGGGCTGCGAGTGCTCCACGGGGAGGGCCGGAGGCCGTGTCGAAAGCGAGGAGGCACCCCTGGGCGTAAGGAATGGGGTTCTCCAGGACCACAGGCCTCCTGTCACGGGGCGGGCAGCCAGCCCTGCAGGCTCAGGGCTGGGATGCTGCCTGGGAGGAGGGGCTGGGGGGCCCGGAAGGGCCTGTCCCTGGGGAAGGTGCGACCCTGACACTGCTGCTCAGGAAAAGCACACTCTGTTTTTTCAGACCCAACAAGAGCAGCAGACCCGCCGCAGAGATAACACCTCCACTTGCAACCTGTGCCCCAGACGAAGAAGAGCTCACCCTCCGTGCTCCCTCGCTCGGTGCTCTCTACAGCCCGGTCGTACTCCCACCCTGGTGGCCCGCTCCTCCCCTCCATGTCTGAGACAGGGCCGGGGACTCCCCTCCTGCAGGGCCGTGACCACGGTGGTGCGTGGAAACCACGGCCCCTGGGCACAAGCCCCCCCCCCCCCCCACCGCAACTGCATCCGAGCCTGAATCACCAACCGTGCTCCCAGTCTGCTGCCGTGAAACCCAGGCTGCTGTGTCCCGGGGGCTGACACGGAGCCCCGCCCCCGCCGGAACACTGTCCAGAGCTCTGCCCCAGTCCAGGCGCCCGCCTGTGCCCCTGTGGCCCCCACCAGCTGAGACTCCGTGGGACCTGGCAGTGGCCTCCAGAGGCGAGATCCCCGTTGCCCACCTAGCTCTTTGCAAGACCGGCTCCCGAGCTCTCAGGCCCCAGGCCCGGCTCTGCTCTGCCGTGTCCGCCTGCACTCCTCACCCACCTGGCCCGGCGCTGCCCGCACGGTGGGCCTGGGGGGGTCCCTCCTGGGGGCGGCTGGGCAACTGTTAATAAAGACCACGGCTGGGCTGTCAGGCACCTGCCGTGTGAGGGCCGCTGCTCTGTGGTGCCTCCGAGCAGTGTCTTTAACAGTCTTCTCAAGATCCCCGGGGCCTATGCCACAAGCTGGCGGCCGGGAGTTACCCTCAGATGAGCTTTCGTGCCAGCACCGTGTCCCGCTTCAGAACCCCTCCAGCAGGAAGGAAGCTCCCTCTCCCCTTGTGGTACCTTTTACGGAACCTGCACAAATGGACGGTCACCATGCGTCTGGCCGGTTACCCCCATACTATACTGCCTCTGGCCTGCAGAAGAGCGTGCCCTGCCCCGGCAGCAGGCGCTCCAGGACAGGACGGGGGTCTGCGGCTCCACGCACCCCTACGTGCGGCCTGCAGAGGTGCTTGCTGCTGGTGAGGAAGCAAGAAACCCCGCGCCGGCACGCCTCCCTGCTCACGCGCCTCCCTCACGCTGCCCTCCGGGAACTTCAATGATCACATTTGCAAGGACGTGTCCACAAGAGGCTGCATCAGGCAGAAGGTGGCCCGTCGCAGGATCTTGTGTTTATCCGCAGTGGACCTGAGGCACCTGTGTGAACTGGGCACCTGGGAGGTGAGTGAGCCGGGAACGGAGCCAGAGCCTCATCCCAGAGCACCCACGTGACTTCGGTGCATAGGGGTCGGCCTGTGGGCTTTAGTATTGAAGACCAATTGGGGTGGCCACTTGGTGGCAGGTGGGGAAGCGTCACAACTCCTACCGAAGGGGAGGAAACCAAGGGCAGCAGCCCCGTGACCGAATCACCTCCACAGGGAAACCTGATTGATACATGACACGGAAAACGAAGAGGCCGACCTGCAGGCTCAGTGACCTGGGCAGATGATCGGCTTTGCTGATCTAAGGGTTTAAGGGGGAAAAAAGGAAGAGGAGGCTGGCACAGAGGGGCGGGGAGGAGGGGCGGGGGGCGGGGCTGCTCGGGACCACGTGGTCCCAAACAGCGGCTGCTGCTCCTACTCCCGCGTCCTGCGCCGTGCCCGGCCACCCCGTGCCCTGCTGGCCTATGCACAATGCTCAAGGACCATGTCCCAGGTTAACACTGGAGGTCACCTGACCTCTCCTGCCCCGGCCTCCCCTCCTGCCTCCGCTAGCTGATGTGTCCCTGCGCATCTGTGGACGCTGGGATGACACTCCCCACGCCATCCTCAGTGAGGGCGAGCCCAGGGCCAGGTGCAGAGGGGAGAAGCTGCCCGTAGGCACTGCTGGAGAGCCCGCGCGACTGGCACGGAAGAGGTGATGGAGACGAGGGCCAGGGGCCAAGGGGGCCCGGAGGCTCCAGGCCCACCCACCCTGGCTGAGGCCCTAGACTAGCCACCCTGAGGATCTGGGCCAGCGAACAGGCCCCCTGGCTCTCCAGTGCGAGCACTTGCTGCCCCCAGTCACTGACGGCTGTGAGGAGGGGTGGACAGGCCAGCACCAGCTCACTGCTGTGGTATGTGATGAACTGTGTCCGCGGCAGGAAGAGATATGGACCGGAGTCTGTCCCGGCCTTGAGGAGCACCCTCAGGTGCGAGAGAGGAAAACGTCAGGTGTACAAGAGAGAGCAAGAGAGAGAAGAACATGGTCACGGAGAGTCACAGAGGAGGTGTAAACACGCCCAAAGGGTGGCGGGGCGTGGCCCCGAGCTGGGTGAGCTGCAGAGCCAGTGCTGTCTGAGCTGGACCTGAAAGGGGAGGGTCCCACGTGGCAGAGCCAGGCCAGGCGGGCAGAGAGTGACACAGGTTCAGGCCACGAGGCTACCATTCCTGGCCTACTATGTGCCGGGCACCAGATCTACTCAATGAGGATGCAGGGACCAGCGGGCCCATTTCACAGATGAGGAAACGGGTGACGGGCCACGGAGCTGTATGTGGAGATGGGAGCTGTGCTCAGACCCATCAAACGTGCCAGTCGGACTACATGGTGCCCTGTACTGGAGGGCTGGTGAGCGACAGAACGGGGGTGAGGCCCGGGGCCCACGTAGGGCCCCCCCAGGGCTAGGAGGAGGGGTCAGAATGCCCTGCCCACAGGCCTGGACACGGAAGGCCCCAAGAGGCAACAGGCAGAGCTGCAAAATTTGAGCCAGGATGACGTCATGGGGAGGGGAGGGGCCTGAGGACAGACACACTCCCTCCAACCCTTCCCACTGGGCCCGCCCTCCCTGCCGCCTCCAGACATCTGGAGGGCTTCGAGCAAACAGGCAGAGGGGCCCCTCTCGTTTCCATCATGGTCTTCTGTCTCGTGACTCAGAACCATAGATCGCGCAGGGCCAAGTCTGTTGGCTGCCCTGCCCAACAAGCAGCTGCTGGCTTTCTAGAAGCTCTCCTTCATCTTCCCACTCCTCTGTGCCCCCACCTAAGGGACGCCGGCAGAGACACCCGCTGGCGTACTCTCTGGCTAACGGGATTCTCCTTCTGAAGAGGCAAGGCGAGCGAGCGTGCCCCTGGGGAGGTGACGGGCGTGGTGCCCAGCTGTCCCAGAGCCACCTCCTCCTGATGCGTCCATTCCCACCCAGAAACTTCTGTGGCCCCTGGTTTAGCCAGAAGACTTGGGACAGTTTCCAAAGCCAGGGCCCTCGGGCCCTTGTGAGTTCTCAATGACGAACTGCTTGCTGACTGGGGTGGAGCTCCCA